CCTCTGGTTTGATATCTAGTCTTTCAAGTGTACAACAGTGTTAGCATTAAGCTCTTTCTTCTTCAAGCCCATTTATATTAAATTCCAGTTTCACTGCTAAATTACTACTTTTTATGTCATTTTTTTGGTTTGACCGTTCACTGTCTTGTTTTTTGTAAAATGTCACAGTGATTTACTTTTGGGAGACAAGGAGGCAACACAACTATGTATTTTGCAGTCTATGCATGAACCAAAGAGTAGAGACATAATTTTGCCAGATAAGCTTTGAAACGGTGACATGGTTGGTTGTGTTGTCTGTTATTTGTGTGGTAATTTGTGGACTGAAGATAGAATAGCAAATTTGTATTTTATGTAATAACTCAAAATTTTGTAGTAACTTAAATGTGAACTACATTGTTGAGAGACTGGTGCTATTTAAAATATGGGAACTGAAACCAGCATATGAGAAATGTGCAAAACAGGACTGCCTGTTTGCTTTTCTTTAGTAACAAAATATTTAAAAATTATTCTTTCCTTTTATTTAATTATGTATGTTCTGTCTTGTGCTGAATCTATTAAAGCTTACCAAATTAAATTCTTGTTCTTTGGAAGATACTTTAATTCATATAATTGGAGTTTTCAAGAATAAAACTCATCAATTGAGGGTCGTGGAAAAAGTTAATTAAATAAAATGAAACATTTAATCTGTAAATTACTTCTAAATACTTAAAACTCTTAAACATAACTTAAGTAAATTTACTTAAATGTGAATTTACATAAAAGCTTTTTGGAGTTATGTGTTCTTAATTAGAGAAAGGTATTTCCTTGCTGCTCCAAATTGTGCCTCTGTTGTTCCATTACTTTAGGAAAGTCAAGGTAATACAATAATGTTCTTTTGAATGTTTAAGAGCTCTATGTGGACTCCTTTTAGTTTTAACTTGCTGAAAATGTTTTTTCTGCTTTTTAATCTTTATTTTTAGGATTGTGGTTGTGTGTGTATGTGTATGTGTATGTGTATGTGTATGTGTATGTGTATGTGTGAACTTGTAGTGATCCTCCTGTTTTCAGCCTCCTCAGTGCTAGGATTACAGGTGCACACCACCACATCCAGACTTGGTTGTCGGCTCAGCTTGCCCAGGGTTGCAGCTGGCATCCAGGCAGGGCTGGTACAACATGTGGTGCCAGGAATCGAACCCAGCCCCTGCGCTTGCTGCTTAGTCCACTGAGCTATCTTGCCAGCCCTTCAGCTTTTTAATCTTTAAATATAATAGTTTATTTGAGCTTTTGGTTTCAAAAAGATTTAAGGGTTATGTTGCGTGTAATCCCAGCACTTGGGAAGCTGAGGCAGGAGGATTACTCCTAAGTTTGAGGATAACCTGTTTAAATAGTGAGGTCAAGGCCAGCCTGAGCTAACTAGTGAGACCCTGTCTCCCAACACAGTAACAGCAGCAAATTTAAATAAACAAAGAAGCAAATAAGCAAAAATACCTCCAGTTTTGTAGATTTAAATAAAATAAGCCTATAATTATTACTGGAAGATTTCTTTTCAGTGTGAAGCTTTTAGCTTTGTGTTTATATGTTTGCGTGTTTTATATTTATCAAGCTATTTTAATAGTTGTGACCCCTCCTTTCTTTCTGGATTAAAAGTTATTAATTGTTTTCTTTGGTAAAATACTTCCTAGTTATTTCTACTATAAATATTCACTTCTTATTCTGTTTTTTATTTAATATATTCTGTTTCTTATGATTCAGTGGTTATATAAAAATGTCAATCCTTTTTATGGAAAACATAAAAAGAGTAGATAACTTTAAAATTTCTCTGAACTCTTATAATTTCAGTCTTTGCTTTATAGAATGGCTGCAAGTATTCATAGTGATTTCCTTTTTCATTGGCAGTTTTTTGCTTTTTCAAGATAGAATTT